GCTACAACGACTGACAAATAGCCTGACTCGCAAGGGAGTGCTGCTACATCGACTGAGGGTTTGGTTTGGGCAGGCAGTCTATCATTAAAAAAAAAAAATTCAAGTTTTTAAACTTTTTCTGGTCTGGTTTATTAACGCGCTTTTTAAAACTACAGTTTATGGAAAACTCTTTTTGACTACCATGCAAGAGTATATATATATATATATATATATATATATATATATATATATATATATATATATATATATATATATATATATATATATATATATATATATATATATATATATATATATATATATATATATATGTATATATATATATATATATATATATATATATATATATATATATATATATATATATATATATATATATACACACTATATAAAACATATTACTTTTATTTAACTGTTTTTCTAATTAAAGCATACTGAGTTTTACAAGTAGAACTTCTTTGTTCTCTACAGAGAACATCTTTGTTCTCGGACCTTCGTTGCTAATACCATTTTAAGTTCTTTGGAAAGCATTTTCTCCGCTTGTGTTGATATATATCAACATATTTTGTCACCATTTATACTTCTCTTTATGTCAAAGATTGTGTTAAATTTTTTTCATCAAAATTACCACTAAAAAGCATCCATAAAACGAATATTGAAAGTTGCTTGGTTTCAACACACAAAGGAAATCATTTCCGAAATGAGTAATCGATTAAGTGTAAATTAGAAGTAATACTTCTAATTTACACTCAATCGTCAGATTCAGTGTTAGGGTTAGGGTTACCCTACTACTTGGTTAGTGAAAAAAGTACGTCTTTCTTCATGTTTCAAAGTTTTTTCAGCGGCTAGTTCAAAGGCATGGCTCCTTGTTCTTAAAATGTATTTGGATCCTCGATAGGCTGGTGTAGTTTGTGGCGCCACAAAATTGATTGAATCAATTCTAATAACTATTTTGCACTGCTGTATAAGATTAATACGCATGCGGCGAATTTCAAGAGTAGTCAGATTAAGCCGTGTTAAACGTTCCTCGTATTTTAGATTACTTATTGACCTGATCCATTTCGTTGTTCAATGCTGAATTTTTTCAATTGTATTTATATCTCCTATGAAATGAGGAGACCACGCTGGGGCAGCAAATTCTGATAATGGTTGGATATAGGTAGTATATAAAAAACGCCAAAGAGTTAAACCACGACTTCTGAATCCCTTTTTAAATTTCCGTAGCACTCTATTTTCAGCTGCAGCTGCGTGTTCAGCTTGTTATTTCACTTTAAGGTTATTGGAAACTATAACTCCCAAATTGCATTCTTTTGCTGTGGTTTTGAGTTGTTTGCGATGACCATTTTGTGATTCCATTGTATACAAATAGTTTGGCTTGTTCTTTTTTTTTTTTTGCCCATGTGCATAACTTTGCATTTTTCAATGTTAAATGGCATAAGCCAATTTTTGGACCAGTTTACAGCAGTGTCAAGATCTTTTTGAAGACATAGTGCATCTTTTTCTGACTTGATAACACTTATGATCTTGCTGTCGTCTTCATACATTTTTATGTATGCAGACGATACATAATTAAGACCGGTAAATCGTTAATATAGAGCACAAAAAGGAGTGGTCCTAAAACCAAACCCTGAGGGACTCCGCTAAACACTTTTTTCCATGGAGACAATGTATCATCTATTTTGACACGTTGTTTTCTATTTGTTAGCCAATTTCTTATCCAGTTATGTAGTTTACCGTGAATACCATAAGCCTTTAGTTTATATAAGAGTCTTTCGTGCGGTACCTTATCGAACGCTTTTGAAAAGTCTGCATAAATTACGTCTGCCGTAAATCCCTGGTTGATGGCGTCAGTATCAATATCCCGCGATTCTAATTGGTTTGTTGAACACCCCTTGTGTTTGACGAATCGATGCTGAGCTGGGGTAGTAAGGTTGTTTTTGACGCAGTGCTGCATAATTAAATTGTGGATTAAACCTTCCAACACCTTACAGGGTACCGAGGTTTTGGAAACGGGCTGGTAGTTGCTTGCTTTTAACTTATTTCCTTTTTTGAAAATAGGTGTTACTTCTGCTTTTCTACATTGATCTGGAACAAAGGATGTTGAAATAGAAGATTTAAATAACATGGTTAAAGGTATTGAAAAAGCTTCTGCGCAATTTTTTAAGACTCTAGGATGGATTCCATCAGGACCTATTGCTTTTGAAGGATCAAGTTTAAGCAATCTGTTTTTGACTTCTTCATATGTAATGAAATTGATTCTGATGTCGCAAGTGACAGGAGATCGGTTTAAAATACTTGGTAGAGGTCCTTGCGGCTCTACTTACAGCATAAAAATAATCATTCAATGTCTTACATATGTTGAATATGTTATCGGTCACCGATCCACTGCTGTCTTCAAGTAAATAGATTTTATCATGGACTTTGATTTTGCTTTTCACATAAAAGTTTAGTCCCTTTGAGTTATTTTTAAATGAAGAAGGTAATGCCTCCTCATAAGTCAATTTTTGCTTTTTTCACAACTTTTGAGACGGTTTTTGCTGCTTTGCTTTATTCTGCTCTGATAAGTTGGTGCGTCCCTGGTCCTGCTGATACATATTTACCCCAGAGTTTACTCTTATTTTTTACAGCTTCCATGATCTCACTACTAATCCATGGATTTTTTTGGCTGGTATGGTTTTGTGGTACTTGGTATGTAGAGTGAAGTAGCTTCATTATATTTTTCAACTAAAAGTTTGTATTTTTCGGCCTCTGATGTACTTTTGAATAATGCCTCCAAGTCATAACTTTTAATATAGTTAGAGATAGATGTATAGTTTGCCTTGCTCCACACTAATCGAGAAATTATAGGTGGTTCATTGTTTGTTATTGTTGCTGCGAATGAACCTACAATAGTTAGGTGAGCTTGTCCCTCGAAGGTAGATCCCAAAGGTTCAGCTTGAGTTAAGAAAATTATTCTGTCTGGCTCATTGGTTATAACTAAGTTCAAGATGGACTTTGGTTCTTTAAAACGTGAATTTCAAAAGGTTGGAAAAGTGAAAAGTTGCGTAAGATGGTTTTCCTCTAAACAAGACTTGAACTTAATGACAGGTAAGCTGTTGATCAGTATGTTGACTGCTGTCAAAACACCTCCTCCAATGTTATTACTTTCATAGCTAATGTGTCTATAATTAAAATCACCATAGAGTAGTAAGGAGTCGCAACCGATTGTTTTGAGGGCCTTTGTAGCAGTCTGAATTGATTTGGTGATTTCTAGGAGCGCAAGTTCATCTTTATTTGATGATCAATAGATACACCCTAAAAGGAGTGATTCATTTTCGAGTTTCAGCTTTATCCATATCTGTTCAATGGTGTTTTTGTTAAGTTGTTCAATGTTTGTGAGCGTGCACTTGAGATCAGCTTTTACGCAAATAGCTACACCACCTCCTGTTTTTCCAGCCCTGTTTTGCGAAAATATGTTATACCCTGCAATAGCACTATCTGAAGCCTCAGTAAACCACGCCTCAGCAAAAAAAAAAAGATGTGGGCGGTTATGCTTGGTGGTTGCTTGTATTCTGGCTTTCAACTCGTCAATTTTTGTTTGATTTAGTGAGCATGGATTATTTGCCCAAAAATTGATGTTACTGAGAACTTTTACTGAGTAAGTTTTAGGTAGTTCGGGCTGCTGAGGTATGACAGGAAAACGTCGAATTAATGGTGATTTTCGAGTTGGACGTTGTCTTTTAAGATTGACGCTCGGTGGTTGTAACGATTGGAATTGTTGAGAATGAGACTGTTGAGTTTTTTTTAGCTGGGTGGGCGGGGGTGAACTTCCATCAATGACATTTGTTGTGAAATTTGGTTTTGAGGCATTAGCAATTGCGTCTGAAACGATCTTGATGTTGACAAAGACTGATCTTTTGTGAGCAGTTGACTCTTGTGCGTTAATTGGTTTAGCACAGTTAAGGCGTCAATGGATAACGAAACGAAATGGCGAGTCAAGCAGCTTTAAATTTGCGAGTTCATTATTTCGTTCTTTTTTTCGCAATTCAGTTTGTTGAATTCGTGCTGTTTTGCCTCCGTTTGGTCTTCTCTAGCAAACACATTCTTATGCTCAGGTGTGACGAGACTGTGGTGCCTGGTTTTCGACAAGACTATGGCATGCGATTTAGGGTCTTTGACTGTGACCTGCATGAGCTTGGTTTTTCTGATTTCCGTGTCGAGTTTTTTATGATTAAAACCTCTGACTCTCACAATAACTGAAGTGTCGATACCAACAGCTCTGAAGAAATTTTTGGCTGTCTGTTTATTTTCGTCATATTTGTCTGAGACCTCGAGTCCCACCACAATTACAATGATTCTTTTTGCTGTCTTTGTTTCTGCTCATGTGCTACTTTATTTAAAAATAGATTCTGATCATTTTTACTTTCATTAGATTTGTTGTTGAAGAGTAATGAGCATGATATCGGTTGAGGTTTTTTTAGTTCGCTAAGAGATTTGTGTAAGGATTCGTTTTCTGCTTCTAAGGTGAAAACTTTGTTTTATAGAATTGCAACGAGTGCTTTTACAGCTTTAAACTCTGCAAACATGATATAGTCTAGTTGCTCTGTTTTACCGGGTCCTGTTCTTGAAAATCCTTCAGGTTCATATAGACTAGTGATGGGGGTCTTACTGGCTTTGACCAGTTTTATTTTTGTGGACATGTTTTACAGCAAAAAAATAGTAGTAATAAAGTATGTACATACACATATATATAAACTTGTATATGTGTATATAGAAACAATATATATTTCTTTCGTAGATATGTATTAAAAATAAAATAATATAGTGATAATTTTCCGTAAATATATTTATCAATTAATAAATAAGTATAAATATATAAATATCAATTTATATCAATTAAAAAATGCTATAAAGATAAAGCAATAATATAGACAGAAATTATGTCTAGAAAAAAGAAGAATAAGAGGGAAAAAAAATAAAAAGAATACGAAAAAAAAAAATTAAAACTCCTGAAAACTTACGCTCGAACAGAAATACGCCTTATCGACTCAAAGGTTAAAGCGCATGTATGTGGATAAATGATGGATATGAAATGTGGATAAATATATTTTTTATTTTAACTAGTTTTTCCCTAATCTTAATTTTTATATTTTAAAATGGACGATAATTTATTAATTAAACTTTGTGATGAAAATGTCACAATTTGTGATAATGACGTCAGTAATTATTTTAACCAAAAATTATTAGAAAGCAAATACTATTTTATTTCTGAATCTAATTTTATCTTCAATTTGAATTGACGAATTACGCGTCAATTCATCAACCACGAAACTTCCGTGCCGGTGGAGGTGTATGCATTTTTATTCATAACTCCGTAAATTTTATACCACGTAATGACCTCAGTATGAATGAAAAAGATTACGAGTCATTGTGCATTAAAATAATTAATCAAAATTTTAAAAACATAATTGTTAATGTTATTTATAGAGAACCGGGTAATTTAAAAAATTTTAAAGCTTGCTTGCGTAATTTTTTAACAAAAAAAAAATCATGTTTACTTTGTCGCTGACCTAAATATTAATCTTTTGAACCATGCGTCAAACAACAGTGTTTAATGTTTTGTAAATACTCTTTCACAAAATAATTTCATTTCAACAATAACATAGCGATCAAGAATCGCAACAAGTTCCTCTACCCTACTGGATAACATAATTACTAATAGTTTTTCTAATAGCTGCTTCAGTACAGGTATAATAAAGACTGGCAGACCATTTCCCCACATTTCTTATAACAAAAAGCATAATCCCTGATAATATTCCCATAAAACATATTATTTTTAGGCGACAGAATAATGAAAACTCCATACAACAGTTACGCAACCTTCTAATTAACTTCGTTAATTAGGAATTGTTCTCCAATCACGTGATGCTAACAACTTATTTTAGCGCAATTTTGTAAACAATACAATAAAGCGTTTCCTGTAAGTTTTATATAAAGTAAAAATCACCTAAAAAGGAAAAAAAGAAAAGAAAAACACAATAAATACGTAAAAATCAAATATTTAGTATTCGATTCCAACCAAATGTCGCTCTCTTGAAATTGGAATTAGTGATATTTAGGAAATATAACGGTTGTTTGATACTATTAAATAAAATCAGCTGCGACTAGACTTAAAATCTTAGCCTTAAAATTGATTTTGAAATTTCAAGATTTTAGGCTAATTTAATTCTTACTTTACAATGCATTGTGAGGTGAAAAAATTTGTCTGGAAATTTCAAGTTTATATGATATTACATGATTATAAGAAGAGTAGTTAGTTGATAATTGTAGCGATTTGATTGCAATTATGTTCCGAAAGTAATAAAATTATTTTAATAAATTTACACTCAATTATAGATATTTATATTTTCTTTTGAAGTAGCATTATTAAAACTCTTGTCTCATAAATAGTCAAGTTATCTTATAAAAATGTTTAATAACATAACTCGACTTTAAGTATTTGAAAAAATTAAAGACACTATTTCATCACAACTTACGTCAAGACAAATCGTAGATCAGTATATCAGTATGCTCAAAAATAAATTAAATGTATCCATCAATTAAAATGACAATTTTAGTCGTTTTGCAAAAGCCCTTCTCGAATTTGTATGGAAATGCCGATCAAAACTTAGCAAAAAATATTTTCGAAATAAGAGCAAATTTTTAAGTGGCTTAACAATAAAATTTTGTCTTTAATTAATCAGCTACCTAGCTAACAATCATCACAAACCGTTGATTTAAACGTTTCTTGTTTAAATGAACAGTCATTTGGGAGACCATGTAAAAAATACGAAGATATGTCATACCGAAGTAAACGCATGACGCATCGATATTGTTAGTAAATCATGATCATGATAAAATTTTACAAGTGGCAGAAATGGGGTTAAAAAAGAAAAAGCGATATAGTTTGCTGTACGTATTAAAAGAATGTTTATTAAATGTAGATTCGGCAAATAAAATAAAATGTTTTATTCAGGACAAAAACAAGCAAATCGTACCTAATACGCCACTAGAGGATTAGCATTAATGACAGCTATGAATTTATCGAAGACGCAATATCAAGTTATGCGAAATAACTCAATTAAATGTAATGCAAATATATATCCTACATATAACAACATTATAGACAAAAAAAAAGTGTTATCCTGATGGTATTTATATAGCTGAAAATGGAATGAGAGGCGAAGTTCCACTGAAAGAGGCGAAGTTCCGCTGAAAGAATTGTTATAACATACAGTTCATCGAATGTTGCAAATAACTACTGTTAAAAACAGAATATCGCAACTTGGTTCCCTTAAATCCTGTTTAGGAATGACTTTGTATTGCAAATGGGGCTTCGATGGTGCAAGTAGCCAAAAACAGTATAAACAAAGATTTTACGTCCAAATAAACAACAATGATGAATATAATGTTTTAATGTCTGATCAAAACTTGTTTTCTACTTGCCTAGTGCCACTTAAGTTATCATATGGTGTTATGAAAATTTGGGAAAATCAAGTATCTTCTTCAACACGATTCTGCCGCCCACTAAGAATTCAGTATATTGCTGAAAACCCTTTAGTTTTAAGAGAAAAAAAAAAACTTTGACAAGCAAACCGATTTGCTTGAGGAGAGTGCAATGATTATTGATGTAGAAATAATGGAACCAGAAGCTGAAAAGAAGCTCGTAATTGAAGTAAGCTTCAATTTTAAGCTTACAATGATTGATGGAAAAGCAGTAAATGCAATTTGTGACATTAAATCGGCTCAAATTTGTAATACTTGGACCTCGTCGAGCTTTTCGTCAGCAAGCAGAGTTTTCACGAATAATAGGAGTCAAGAAAGATTTAATCTACAGACTATACATTATTCTATCTGTCATTAATTTAAATAAAAAAATTAACATAGCAAAATATGAAACATATTGTTTAGAAACTGCAAATATTTTTGTTCGAGAGTACTCATAGTTTTACATGCCAGCCTCAGTACACAAACTACTCATTCATAGTAGTAGTGCCAATTACTAAAATTATGCTACCAATTGGAATGTACTCTGAAAAAGTAATCGAAGCTCGGAATAAAGACAACAAAAATATTCGTTAACAGCACACTAATTTAAATAAAAAAATTAACATAGCAAAATATGAAACATATTGTTTAGAAACTGCAAATATTTTTGTTCGAGAGTACTCATAGTTTTACATGCCAGCCTCAGTACACAAACTACTCATTCATAGTAGTAGTGCCAATTACTAAAATTATGCTACCAATTGGAATGTACTCTGAAAAAGTAATCGAAGCTCGGAATAAAGACAACAAAAATATTCGTTAACAGCACACTAATTTAAATAAAAAAATTAACATAGCAAAATATGAAACATATTGTTTAGAAACTGCAAATATTTTTGTTCGAGAGTACTCAGACACTCGTAAATTTGATCGAAAAGCTACAATGACGGACCAACTCAATTACTTAATGCTTTCGAGTGACTCAAATCTTTCATCTCTAAGCTATGCAAGATCGAAATATAAACATAAAAAAATGAATCTAGACGGAGACGCAGTTGATCTTCTTTTTCAAGAAACTGAAAAGGAAAAAACAAATGATGCTAATGATGATATTTATGTGGATGAAGAATATAATAAGTTGCATGAGGATGATGATTTTGATGATAGAAATGAGGAACTAAAACCAATACACATAAATGAAATAAGAAATTTTAATGAGCACATTGACATTATTGAATCTGAAAATGAAAACACTGATTTTCCATTTTATTAGGCCATTTTATTATACTAAGATTATATTTATATTATTTTTACCATTTGATTTAAGCAAAATTATTATATGCGTAATATCTAAAATAGAAAAAAAGTTTTAACCTTGAGCTAATAAAAATAAATTCTAATTTGACTATTTTATATTAACAATATAAAATATAGTTAGTGTAATTCACTAGAAGTATATAAAAAGGATGTTAATGACTAATAGTTTAATTATCTTTTAACTCTTACAGTATGTGCAAGTGCCTAACTTCAATTTTCTTACAGTTTCTACGTTAATTTTTAAAGCTTAAGGTTTTTTAAAGTTTTAAAGTTACAAGTTTTTAATCAGATTGCTGCAATTATGAACTAAGTAGTCTTCCATATCATATAAACTTGAAATTTTCAGACAAATAAATTTTTTCACGTCACAATGCATTGTAAAGTAAGAATTAAATTAGCCTAAAATCTTGAAATTTCAAAATCGATTTTAAGTCTACTAGTAAGTTACAGCTAGTCGCAGCTGATTTTATTTAATAGTATCAAACAACCGTTATACTTCTTTAATATCACAAATTCCAATTTCAAAAGAGTGGCATTTGGTTGGAATCGAATACTTAAATATTTGATTTTTACGTATTTATTGTAAAATGATTTTCTTTCTTTTTTTTCCTTTTTAGAAAACATTAAAATAATAAAAAAAGTTTATTTTAAACAAAAAAGGTTTGATGTGTTTAATAAAATTATAAAAAATAAAAAAAACTATATTCCTTAAACAATTATCTTAACTTTAAATTCGTCTTTTTATAAAAGCAAAAAAAGTCGTCGATTTTTTTGAACTAAAAAATATATCATAAAGAATACATGGTCGCAGCTGTTTTTTTTTTTTTTTCAACAATAACTGCCGTTTAGTAAATGCAAAAATCAGAAAATCAAACAATCTTCGAGTGGCATTTTGAAAAAGGAAGACGAGGAAATTTTTTAAAACCCGTTTAAAATATCAACAATTCTAAGACATATTATGACTAAATTAAATACAAATATATAACTAAAACATTTACTTTTTATTAGCACTAAGTTAATATGTTTACTTAAAATAAAAAAAGTCCAAAGCTATTTTAATTGAAAAAAGTTATGTAAATTTTGAGGATAAGTACTTTTTAAAATAAAAAAATTTCCGAAAATTTGACAATTTTAAAGCCACTATGAATAGCTCTAGCAAGATTGCCTTCATCTCTAGTAATTAAACGGATACATTTTTGAGTAGAGTAAAGCACTTATG